CCCTCTGGTCCTGGTTCCCCCGGGGACTCCAACCCAGAACCCTCTGGCTTTAATTTTGGTACAAACCTATATTTTCCACTTTTCCTCAAATGGACGCTCCTCTTTAAAGACACAAAATAACGCAGAGACACTGTCTATTGTGCGTCACAAAAGTTGCCACTGCCAACCAGATCTCAGCTCTGTACTCCTCAACAATAAATAATAAAAGGGATCCCATCCCATTCTCATTGAATTCGGTAAGAACGGCATGTGCTATGGTTTAGAGAAGGTCTTCATCATCTGGCGTTCCTGCATTGGTTCGCTGTATTTCCGTCCATAGATTCTCCATGACGTCTCACCAGGATCTGCTGCTTTTCTAGGACTCAAATCCTGTCGGGGATTGAAATTCGCTGAGGCTGTGTGAAGGGTATCATCAATGGTTTTTGAAGTACTGCCATTGTTTCTGTCTCTGCCTCCATGGTTCTGGGATGTGGTGGGTGGAGGTTCTGGAGGTTTTCCTCCCTGGACGGGTTCTTCCTCTGGGAATCTGAAATGTGGTGGGTGGAGGTTCTGGAGGTTCTTAATTACAAGGTTTTCCATTAGGAAACCGGTTATAAGAAGCTGGTTATAGAAAGCTGTACTCATAAAGCTGGTTATTTAAAAGAATTCTATCTTAAATGTGTGATATTTAGTCAAATACACTCTTTGTGCCTTTAAGGTTTAGATAACAAGTGTCACGTCTGGGGGAATGTCTGGTGTCTCGTTATGTCTTGATTACCTATTGTGTACACCTGGGGTTCCCCTCCCTCAGCCAAAGATGACGGACGTGCTGAATATGCTACTTTCAATGCCACGCCTGAGAGGTCTGGTGTTTGATTTTTGTATTTAATTGGTCCTGGTTTAATGAGAAACTTAAGACCTAATTAGTCCTGGTTTAATAAGAAACGCGAACTAGCCATCAAATGCTTTATGGGAACATTTATTGGATCCAGAGGTCTTTGCACAGCGGGTGAAAGTGTCTCTCATGAATAAGCTGACAGTTTAACACCTTTAAACGTGGCTAAGTGAAAAAGGATGCCAC